CGACTTCTCTGTTTTTATGCCAATACCAAGCTGTTTTCAATACTGTAGCTCTGTAATAGAGTTTGAAGTCAGGGATGGTAATGCCTCCAGACGTTCCTTTATTGTATAAGATTGTTTTGGCTATCCTGGGTTTTTTGTTTTTCCATATAAAGTTGATTATTGTCTTCTCCAGATCTGTGAAGAATTTTGATGGGATTTTGATGGGGATTGCATTGAATATAGCAAATTCTTAATTCACTCATCCGTTGATCGATCCTGAGTTGACACCATCTTGGCTATTGTAACTAATGTTGTGGTGATCGTGGGAGAGCAGCCGTTTCTTTAAAACACTGACTGTGTTGTAATTGATTGTAACAGTTTTGTCTCTGGGAAATTAGAAAGCCTATAGTTCTAAAGAATTTTCATTGGTCAATGACCAGCTTTTTCTACGAAAAACATCCCTTTTTTCGCCCAGTGGTACCTTTTGACTGATCAGCGTTCTGTTAAGCAGTGACTCCCGGTAGCAGCTGCCTTTGGGCAGCAGAGTTGAAAGCCTGTGGTCAGCAGGGTCTCCCTATCTGGATGTGAGTCTAGCATATCTGGGGTACAGTATACAGGGATTGGTGGGAGAGGCAGGCCATGAGGATGAGATTCTCCACAAGAGCCACCCAAGACTGGTTTGAACCGGGAAGTTGGCATGGTTTCTTGCAGGGCAGCGGAATCCCTATTGATATTCTTTATTGTGTTTAGATTTTTTCTTTGTTCTATTGTCTTAATCCATTTAAGGGTGGATTTAATCAATTTCTGAAGGCCCTTGAGGGAGATGAAAAGAGATTTTTGAATGCCTGGGGCTGGAGGCCTCTGGTTTGGGGGCTTCCTGAGTGAGGGAGGCTTTGCTTATATCTGAGGAGGGAGAAGAGATGGATTTTAGGATTTCTCAGGGCCCAGACCCCCTTAGCCAAGCCATGTAACTAAGCAGGGTGTCCTACTGTTGGGAGCTGTGAGCCCCCAGATCCTGAATTTCTTGTAAACATCTTGTTTTCCCCTGATCTGAGAGCCTACAGCTGCTCTGAGTAAGAGACCCTTAGGAGTTCCTGATGGCAGGAGAGTGGTTTCTGCTGTGTTTGGCTGGGGCGTGGCTATCCCTATATAAGCTGCCCCTGGACACAATAAAGAGGGCATTCTTGGGGCATTCTGGTATCAAGGATGACCCGTGTCTCTGTCTGTGAGTCTTTGTGTGTTTCAATCTCCAGCCCCTTGCCTGGTTCACAAACTGTATGGTAGCACATGGAGCGCAGACGGGTGTGGTGCGCTACATCCTACCAGCTGCTGGGTGTGTATGGCTTCTGATGGGTCTTTTAGACTTGGTGGTGACTGTAGCTTTTGATTAGGATGGAAACTGTGCTGTGTCTGTCATCTAAGTATAATTGTCATATATAGCTCATACTTCTTATCTCCTAAGAACCAGGTGGAAATCTTATGTTGTTCCTCATGAGCTTTGCAACACATTTCTGATTGTTTGTAGTGATTGTCTCATGAGAGCAAGCTAAGACCAAAAATCTTCATCGGCTCGGATGAGCTGGGGTTGGTGAGTGACTTCTTTTAGCTGGCTACCTGCAATAATTGCTGAGCCCTTCCTGCCAGGGGGCTCAGGTGACTGGAATATCTCATAAATCATTGGCTTGCCAGGATCGTGTATAACTTTCCCATAGGCAGCTGTCCCTTGATGGCCATGCAGTTGGGTTCAGGGCCCTCACAGGATCCAGCCAAGGTCTGCCCATTCTCCTTCTAGAAGAGCGCTGTCTGCGGTTCTTATATCGAACCCATCATGTTTTCCACTGTGCTTTAAGTCATCATCAGATGACTTAGTAGCTAACACTATACAAGGCTAGGTAAATAGTTTTCTCTCACCTTGTTTAAT